TTGAGCCTTTTACTATAAGAACCAAACAATCATGTGCAGGATTGACAACATATAACTGCTTATACTGTAAAAAAAAATGCTTCTACTGTAAAAACTAATATGCAATATTCTGTAATATTCTATACATTAACAACTCTGTACCAAAGTTCTTTGAGCCTTATAGAATCTATAAACGTGTGCTGATAGTGACAATAGCACATGTTATTACAATCTGTCTCGAAGTGGCTTTGTTGCGGTTGTAGCAGTGCATACATAGAACCATCTTGACAGCCTGTGCAGAGGGTGATAATAAGGTTGGTCTGTGGAGAATGATGCTGAGAGAGAGAGAGATGCTGTGATCGAAGCTTTTTCAGTATTTAGACAGAACAGACCCACAAACAGGAAAAGGTGCTGCAAGAATCGGGAAGACGCTCACCACCAGATCTACACCATAGTGATCAATTAAAAGTGTTTATTTGCATATGCCTTTGCAGGGTTCGTTTGAATCTGTGGTCTCTGACACATTTATGAGTCAACTGACATTCATCCCCCTCCCCCTGTCATGAGGCTGTTTCTTCTGTACAGCATGTCCGGGCCCCTCGCTCGATACCAAAAGCAAACAGAAGAGGTGAGGAAGACTGCAGCGCTCAGATTGTGTTTTTTCTGACAGCACACGGGGCAAAGACAAGGTTTGAGGGGGAAAAAGTGAGAATGTTTTTTTTTCCAGGGGTGGTGTTGCTTTCCTGAACTCTTTGACGACTGGCTGTGAAGTGGGGTGAGAGGCGCAGTAGGGAAGGTGTCAGTAACTATCTTTGATGTTACAGTTTTCAAGCAGCTAATTTGACATTGATGTGTTTTTCCTAGGAATGTGTGACCACTGCATTCAAACGGGTGAATGAGAAGATAGATGTCAAAGCTGATATACAGTAATAGTTATTTGAAGGGTGAGAGGTTAGTGGATAGAGCTGTGTTTGCCAAGTCGGACCTCATCTTAAAAGTTTTTTTCATTTGTAATATTGAAAGAGAAGCTTATTGAACTTTCACACATGAACAACACAGCAGGAGATTCTCTGCTCTGTATAATAATGGATGAACTCAAATATAGATAGTTTTCAGGAATTTTGAGTAAACAAAATATAAATGTCACCAACTAAACTCTTATGTCATTAAAATTATCAAAAGAATTTCACATCTTCTGCATTAACACTTCCACACCTCCAACACCTCCAACACCTCCACTCGTCCCTGACATCGTACCTCCTGGGGGTACACCTGTCTGCCATACGTTACCCAATTACCTTCTTATGTGTTGTTTAATGTTTTGACAACCTCATCCTTACCTCCTGCAGGTTACTTATTCTTTACACATTCACAAATCACATCTTCAGCTGTGAGTTCAATAGAAATCACTTCCGTTCAAAATAAAAGTGTGCTCATTAAAGAAAAGAAGAGCTGCAGGGAGCAGATCTGGTGAAAAAACTCCCACTGCTATTCCCATGTCTTACAACAGCAGAAATATTAATTAATGCAATGTTTTTAGTGTGTTTCAAGTTTAATTTGCAACTTTTGAAGACCGATGAGGGAAACTTGACACTTTCCCATAAATGAAAATGAAGTGAAGCAGCAGGTAGAGTGTTGATTTGCACCCCATAAATCCTAGCAAATCTACCTCGCAGCCGCATTAATTAATTTCACTATATCTCCGGTAAACAGAGATGTCAAAGGTACAAGTAAAGCACGCTCGTTGCTATTCATGTTGATGGATGCACAAATCTTAAGTCTCCATAATTTACCTGCATGTGAGGAATTTGAAGACCCTCATTTTATTTTTGATGGAACTAACTAACCCTAGCATTTCAACGACTTTTTAAAGGTCTAAAATTCAGATTATTAGATTCTATATTATTTAAACCCTCCAGAAACCCTGTTATGTTGAAGCTGTTGCTGACGCGGCCTGAAAATCAAATCCAATGATCGTTTGCGGTCGAGCAGGTGTTGCATTCACTCAACGCTGATGTCTGAGTAAAGGGGAAAACTGTGAAATGACACCCATCCTCAGTAAATACCCACTGTTGCTCTGCATAAAACTGTTGGTGCCCATTATTCCATGCAGACACTGTAATTAGGAACCAAACCCCCCCTGCTTTTAATGTGGATGAGAGCAGGTGATGACTCCATTATTACTGTTGTGAGCTCGTGCTGTGGTTTTGCTGCACTGGGTACCTCGAGCCAAGTTATCACAAATCTAGGTAATATCACATCTGATGTTAAACAATGCGTTACTTCACATATTAGTCTAACTGTTCGATATTGATTCAAATATCAAGTATTACTTAACCATTCACAAATAACGCTGCTATATTCACTCCAATATGAAGCATGGATATTGTACTGACTTTACAGAACTGTGTGCTGCTCTCTTATGCTCATACTTATGCTCTCAACAGTCATGAATTTCATTTTCATTTGGTGATGAAACTCATCTTTACGTTGTCACTAAACTGACAGAAAATGACTTCTCTTTAAGTCCTAAAACCTCCAGCTGCATTCCTCCACATGACGGATTTCCATGGATGTCTGCCCCTACGCCATCGCTGCCAGGGGATGAGCACATTTTATTTAATGCTGGAAGTTACAAAAATAAAAAACTGACTAAAAATGTTATAAAATATTAAATTGGAGTAAAGTTTGACAATAAGTGGGTGAGCCAATATCTGCTACAGTGTTCTGTTGTGTAGTTCAATTTTAATGCGATTGCAATTTACTCAATAGTAAACACCGCACATTACTGAAAGAGCATATTGACTTAATGCTTTAACTGCTCAGTGGTGTTACAGTAACAGTTTGACATTTTGGCAAATATGGTTCTTTGCTTTCTTGCCCAGAGTAGGATGAGAAGATCAATAACACTTGTCAGTTAAGGTTAACCAAAGGTACAAACTTTCACCTACCAACTTTAAAGGTCAGAAAATTAACATGTTGCAAACTTTGCTCAGATATAATGTTACACAGGAAACTGCTGTCTCTATGCTATGCTAACAGTCACCTCGCTGTCGCGTCACATTCAATTAACAGACATGATGGTGTATACAGTCTGTATATGAAGATGGACAACATGACCGCTCTACAAAAGAGACCAGCTTCCTCCATGTTAGCAGATGGACACAGACCAAAAAAAAAGTCAAACAAACATATAAAAAATATTTTGTTCAAGTGCCATATTTCTGGTATGTTTGAACGGGTGAAACGTCATGATTGATAGCTGAGACTCATGACTGGACTGTGTATCCGTGGGACCTTGCTATTTTGGCTCAATCCCCCCATCGCTATGCTGTGCACAGCCTGGCTTCAACTCTGCAAGATAGCATCATTCACGTTCGTGAGGTTTTGGCTTCATTTTTGGATAGTGGGAGGCAGTGGAGACGTGTTGTCCATCTTCATATACAGTCTATGGGTGTGTCAAATGAAAAAATATAAATCACCCAACATGTTGCAGTTATCCTTTAAGAAATATTGACTACTTCAGTGTTGCAGTTTTGTACATGTACATAAAAATAACTATTTGAACAGCTAACAGACAATTAATGTTCCTTACCATTCTGTATGAGGAGTGTAAATAGATATCAATTCAAACTTTGAAGCAAAATCGCCAAATTCACTTTGAGAAATTCACAAACAACAGACAAGTGCTCCAAGCATTGAATACTTCTTTAATTGTTTGTTTTCTGAGTGTTCCTTGAACCACTATCTACAATTTCAAGCTTTTTTATCAGTTAAATGTACCTTCACCATCATGCAACACTTTCCATAACAAATTACATTTTGGTATGTAATTACACTTTCTCAAAAACACTTTACTTTGAAAAGGTTTATAATGATTAAAATTAGATGTTGATGTGTATTTGTCAGTCTCTATTCTCATTCCTTATCAGTAATTCAGCTTTTGTAAGAACAGAAAAATCTCTCTTACATAATTTAAGTCTGTCACCATTTCCAAAGTCTCGTCATCGTGACTAAACGTGACCCACAGACAGGGGATGTTTGAGCTTTTGACAGAGGCAGAAACATGGAGGAACTATAAAAACAGAGAGGTAGGCACTGTAAGTAAGTACGACTCCTGAACACGGGTAGTGTGCTGTTGAAGCCTGACCCCAACCCCACAGAGGCCAAGAGGACTAATTGTTAATTAAGCCACGCTGATGAAAAAGAGCTCAAGTGTAAATGAACGTGTCAGTCTGGAAGAGCACTCAGACACACCTTTTACCTCCGCAAAGGAAAATCAGCATTATTTTAAACTTGACAGTGCACTCCAGCAGTTCAGAGCGTTGGGTTATTGTTGATGGTGAAATTAAAGTTTGGATGTTGTTTGTGTCTTAAATCTTAAGAGACCTTGTAGATTTCTGTAGCTTATGGTAGAAGTGTGTGTGTGTGTGTGTGTGTGTGTGTGTGTGTGTGTGTGGATGCAGTGATAGTAAATTGTACCTTTGGGCAAAAGGTGGATGAAGAAAGAATATAAAAGGATATCATTGACTTTTTTGAAGCGGTATAAAAAAATGACCACAGATCCTTTTATTAACAAAATCCTCCCAGACTTTTCTGATGTTCAACTGTCTTATCAATAACTAAATCCCCCCATCATCCTCAGGACCTACCCTTTGCCTGCTCCTGAAGCCTGGGGGCAGGACTGAGGCAAGTTTAAAGTAATATCCCTGAGACTGTCTCTCTCCTCCGTGATCTCCTGTAAATCCTGTTCAATGAGGGACAGCCGGCTCTGCTGCTCCTTAGCAGCCGACTGCAGCTTCTGGATCTTCGAGCCCAGCGTCGGGCTCTCCACGCTTCCGCGGAGCATGCTTAGGCGACGCGCTGTCTCGTTCAGGATTCGGTCGAAGCGCTCCAGCGGCAAGTTGGCATCTGGTCCGTACATGCAAGAGAGAGGACAGATGGAAGACACAGGCTTCAAGAGTTTGTTTTTCAGATTGTAATTGGCGATCCTACATCAATGATACAACTAGTAGATCCTTCTGCCTAATTGCAATGATTTATCATTATTCTTGCTGTCTGATATTAACATATTGACCATAAATCAGTGCCAGAACCTTGCCTCGCATGTTAACTCTACAAACTGTTTAATATATTATACATTAAATGAGTCTGAATAAAGAGGTCAGATAATAATAGGCTAAATACAAAGCTAAATTATTTTGTTACACTTAAATTTACCCACAAAGAAAATGCTTCTGGGCGCCATGAACTGCAGTTATTCTTGCTCTAACGTGGGGATACAAAATCTAGGAAATATTTCCATGTTAAATGAGGCAGTAAAAAGCACAGAGCTCTTTAGTGATCTGACATTTAAGGTATAATGAAGATTAATCGGTTTATAGACAAAGAAGAACCAAAAGGTAGCCACAGTGGAAATCATGTATAATAAAGTGACTTACCAATTTTACTGATTAGGTCAGTTAGTGTGACAGAGTAGGTCTCCAACTGGAGCTTGGCTGCTTCCATGTCGTCCCTCATGTTGTTTAGGGATACCTCGGACTGGGAATAAGAAGACATACCATAGTGTATTAAGCCGTACACAGGAAGTGTAGATCAATACTCAAAGATTATTCATGTGTCTGTGTTCAGTACCTCTGAAGGGATTTGGGACTTTGCTATGTCAGTTAGCGTCTCCTGTTCAGCCAGCTGTTGTAAAGCAGAGTCAATATGGGAACTAAGGTGAGCGGACGCAGTCCTGGTGTGTTTGGCCTGGGTCAAAACGGCCTTGGATTGCTGAACACAAAGAAAAGAGGAATAATTGAAGTGACTATTGATCGTTAACCTACTTAAGGTAACAAGAGTCTATTCTGGAACTGGTGGCTCTGTCAGGCTGCACAATTTTAGCTAGATTCTAACGTAATGTCATTTCATGCTGCTAACATGCTCAATGACAATAGAGACATACAAAGTTTAGCAGGTGTAGTATTAAGCATGTTCATCTTCTTAGTTAGTGTGGCAGCATGCTAATATTTATAATACTATTAATTAACAATATGTACTTTGTTTTTGTGCTAAAATTTGCTAATTAGCACTAAGAACAAAGTAACGCTAAGACTGACATGATTGACGATGTTAGATGAAAAATGAAGGAATTACCACTGTTGAACTCAAATAATTCATCCTGCAGGGACATAGATGATATAATATATATATATATATATATATATATATATAGCGTCAGAATAAACATTTGAACTGCAAGTGGCATTGCATGAAAAGATCAGGTCATTAGGACTCATCTATGCATCTACAATGCAGCAATGCCACACCCAAAGCCACTCTGTTAGCATGACTAATATAAACAAAGTCTCATGCCTTTGCTGCATTCTTTGCTGTTTTTTCTGCCTCTTTTATGGTGTTGCTGGAGAGGCTGGAGTTTTCCAGAGCTGGTTTTAGCATCTCCTTGATCTGCGAGACCCTTTTCCTGACATCAGCCAGGACCTTTTCCTCGAGGGGTCTCTCCTTCTTAATTGCAGCCTTGGTCTGGGCCTGCCGAAGGGGCCACTCCCTCACCATGTCTTAGTTGAGATAGGGAAGAAAGCAGATGGTGAAAATAAAACAGATTCAAAGGTGTAAAGATTTAATAAAGATTTAATACATTTATGGATCAGTGTTAAGTCCACTTGCCGAATTTTATGCTAATATTTTCATTATCTAACATATGCTTATATTATTGTATGATCTCTAGTATTATTTCAATAAATGTGTGATCAGACAAAACTACTACAGATCCTCTTCATGTGCCATAAAGCCAATGTTTAACTCATTTATGCTTGAATTCCATGTCATGCCATTGCATTCTTCACATAAGCTGCTGCTGCATTCAGTACATGTCGAGCAGGTCAAAAGTTTACAGTGGTGATGAAACATTCATTACAGAATCTGCAGTTTGTTTTCACTTTCAGTATTTGACATTTGGATGTTCAACAAAAGCAATAGTGAGACGGTCAGATGAGCTAGATGGAGACTTACTTTCTAATTCTTTGTGAAGGTAAATGGCTTCTGATTCCACCTCTTTCCCAGCCACCACGGACGACAGAGCCAAGACCTTTGCGCCTTGAGCATGAGCTTGAAGCTTCAGAAATAGACACATAGGATCCAACTGTATTCAAAGCTTATTATAAAATCCAAATTCCTACTGTGGAGTAAACTGAAAGGAGGACAGCTAAGGATCAAAAATTCTGACGTCATGCAAGTAGCGGTATGAAGCTTGGGCATAGCAATAGTTTGAGATAAACGTTAGCGTGCTAACATGCTCCCAATGCTATCTAGAGAGTAGAGTCAAGTACAATTGTACAAATTTAAATTTTGAGACGATGTTTTGTAGAAAGTTAAAGGTTCAGTGTTTAAGATTTAGGTGGAAATGATCTATTGGCAGAAAATGAATATAAAATAATCCTAGTGATGATTTCACTAGTATGTTTCATCTCAATTGTACAAATTGCTGTTTTATTTACCCTAGAATGGGCCCTTTACATTTAAATACTTTATATTTACATCTGGAGTGGGTCCAACCATGATTTTTACAGTAGAAAACTGTACAAACTAAACACCTTTTGAGTTTTTATGACAACTGTATTCTCCCACAGGTTCTCTTTCTTTGGAAGGGTTGGGCGAGGTAAGGGGTATTCAGCTACAACATGAAAGTTCACCACTAGATGTTACTAAATTCTACACACTGAACCTTTAAGGGATCAGCAAAGCCTATACAATTTATCTGCTGAGGAAAATGAACATCTAAAGCAAATCAGTCCCATACTCTCAATGCATACAGTATATGAAGCCTACAATAGATAGGTAGATATAGGAAGATTGGTGCTTTATTTGTCCTAGTAGGGTAAATTGGTTTGTAGCGACAATCTCAGGACCTTTTCCAAAAACCAACAAAAAAACATCTCCAGACATGACCAACACTTAAACTTAGATTGCACTTTGGGCAGTCCAACATTTGATCCCAACCAGCTGGAGATCCGTGCCTCTCATCACCCACAAAGATATTTGCCCAACTCGTGACTCCCTCTTTGTATGTGCATTCCACACTTGGTCATGTAAAACTCAGGTGCTCCCTGGCTGTTGATAATGTGACATTAGATCAAATATTGATTTAACTGTCTGAAGATCACCAAAGTTAGTCAACCAATAATAAAAACCTTCACATTCCCTTTCCACTGAGCATTAAAAAGATAATTCGATACATAGCTAACATATCTTAACACAGCACCACTTGTTGTACTAACCTCACTGATGCCATCCACGCTCTTCAGATTCACACTGACCGTCTCTTTCAGAGGCTCCACCCCGTCTGTGATTTTACTGATGAGATCATCTTTGGTCTGAATTTGCTGCTCCAGCTCTTTCGTCTTTTTCATCAAGTCATCACCCCACTGAACAGGAAGCAGGAATATACAAATGCTTTGGTTGAAATCAGCCTCATTTTGCTTCCTCCCGCAAATTTGCAAAAACATTTACACTTCACAACAGGCACATTAGCTTCAGTGTTTTGTCTGCTCAAAGATGCTACGTTGGTTAATCGGCCTCCAGTGGAACAGCATGTACCCCATGTGCTGCAGATCCTGCCAGAATCTCCTCTCGTGTGCCTACTCAGTGTCCCCCTCTGAAGGCTCGCTTGCCAAATGTTAAATCAAGAAAAATATTAGGCAGAGTTAACTGCCCACTCATCAAAAATCAAGAAATATGCTTTTATCCCTACATGAGTCTTGTTGAATGACAGGGAAGCGGTTTCTTATATAAAGCGTGCAGCTTTAATTCGACTAAATGATTCACTCATTGATGGATAATGTGACATAATAATGCTTCAAATCTCATTTGCACACTGCAGGTGCTTTCCACACTGACCTGTGCTGTGTGGTTGGTGGGATGTGTTCGGTTGAGCTGTGTTTGGTCGGGCTCTGGTGATGGGCTGGCATCTGTCAGAGCCAGCTGATGTAAGGATGATGTGATGTTACCCAGGGCAAGCTTTATACCGGCAGCTTCCTTCTCCAGGGACAGCTGTTTGGCAACAGTAGCGTTCACCTGCGCTGTCAGATTCTCCTTCTGCTGCTGCATTTGTGTTATTCTGAGGATTAAGATGACGAGAAAAAGCAAAGGAAATGTAGTAATATACAATTGTAGTAACAACGATAATAACCTTTATTCATTTAGCTCCTTTCATAGCATGATCCTAGCTCCTCCTTTCTTACTTTGCAAGAAAAAGGTAGTTACAACCAGAAGAACAGATGCTTAAAGACAGAACATATTCAGACAATAAAGGACAATAAAACAATAACATAATCTCAAATAGCTGATAAAAGAAGAAGACACAGGCAAAAATACATGTGGTGGAATTAACAATAATGTTAAGTTTACAACAAAAAGAACAGATGAGGTTGAAATGACTGAAAATCGAGACCATAAATAAAAGCTTAGACCATTTTTTTAAAAATACACTTACAGAGGTTGCTTTTCCAATGTGTGATGGGAGGATGTTGTAAATTAAGCGTACAGAGACATATAATGTAACAGACACTTTTTTATATGTATGTTTGTATTATATCAGGATGTCCTCTGTTCATCTGATTGAACAATTCTGTTGAGAGAAGATAGAGATGCTTTGCTTCAGCCTGACACCTTGAAGAACTCACGAAAGGTGTTAGGCAGAATGTAGAACATGTACAGGTGTAGTTATAAACAATCTGTTTTCCCTCAGCAGAGCAGATCCCCAGAAATGACAGTAAATATTTCACTCCAGCACAAACATTTCTCAAGGGCCACTAAACTTAATTGCAGTGCCAAAGCAAAAAGTAAAAAATAATTTATTGCAAGTAAATGTGAAAAAATGACATTGTTAGTCATTCAGTCTGTACTCCTGAAGTATTTTATACAACAAGCGGAAGAGCGAGGATGGTAAAACTGTCACTCTTTAAGAATTCAATTGATTTCTCAGGCTTATCATAGGATTTTGATGTAAAATCTGAAAATATCTCATAATTATCATAGCTAAATAAATTTAGCGGAGTGGGAACTAAAATAATTTGTTGTGAAATTGATTGGTGTAGATGTCTAAAGAAGCAGAAACTAGTAGTAGTGTGTGAGTATCTATAACGGAAAAAAAGTACCCAAGTAAATGTACTTGATTAGTTTCCATCACTGAACTGTGTTAAAGTCACACACTTTCCTTGCGGTGTGATGTAATTCTGCTTCTGCTGCTGCTGAATATAGACATAGAGATTGACTGTAAATAAAAGAACAATAAATAAACATTAAGTTGGTCTCTAAGTTGGTGTTAGAACAAATAAGTCTCCACTCCTGTTGTTGGTCTTATCTGAGGCTTTGTAAAAAAACAAACTCTATTGACTATTGTTGTCATTTCTTCTGATTGGATGGCCGTCCTGTCTATAAAACCCATTCTATCTGAAACATGTGTATGTAAGTGTGGGAAATGCAATTTTATGCTGTCTATCTGTGCATAAAGTGCTCAGTTCTACAAAGTGACACAAACACATGCATGTGCCGTCGTGCTCCGGAGATTAACAGAACTGTCCCGCACCCAGGCTGACGACTCTTAGAAGTGGGTAATCAATTTTGAGTTCCTCGCCTCTTGCTCTCGTCATGGCCACCGGAGGGCTTTTTGCATCATTCTGTCTAGCATTCAGGATAATCCTCAGAGCAATCACACGCTAGGAGATGCAGCGAGCGTGCGGCAAATCCAAGAAAGCAATAGGCTTACAGTGGAGAGGAGCCGTCCCCCTGTGGCTAAATGTCTTACTCCTAAACTCCGATGTGCTTTAAAAAGGCTGCTGAGGAGACCTTGAGCTGTAATACGGGGATAGGTGCACTTTGTTTGCAATATACCGAGAAAAGCAGAATAATCCGGGGAGTAATGCGGCTTGTTGGGATTTTGCAATAAAGGCTGCCCCATGAGAACAGGAGACATTCTTTCTGCTTGTGTTTGTCGGCGTGGGCGTGTGTTTGGGTTGGCTGTGTTGTGCTCACCGCTCTGTTAGGTTCCTGATGTACTCCTCGGTGGAGTTGTCCTGCAGGAGATCCATCAGGAAGGCCAAGGTTTGCTTTGAGGCTCTCACCGCCCTGTGGGCAACGGCCTCAATGTGGTCAGCTGTTTCTTTGTGTCTACACAGGAGGAAAAAAGAGGAGGATGGGGGGGGGGGTGAGAGTAATGTACAAATAATAGACTATTCCAACTGCCTTAGGAGATATGAAATGGATTTCGGCATCAATGACTTCCCATCGCTGGCTCTCCAGTTCAGATTTCTGTAACTACCACATAATAGCCCTGCATACTCTGAGCAGCTGAGGGCATCGATTCACAGTGGCCTAACCACAATGTAAGTGACAAGCTAAAGGACGGAGAGAAGCCAGGAGAGATGAAGTTCCACAGATTACTCCAGTGGTCTCTGCCGATAATCGGCCACTGAAAGTCCATTCACCGAACTCACCTTTGCATTAGGACCTGTGAGTCATTGACCATTATGTTCCATTTGTTAGGTCCTGACACAAGATCAAAAGGAATGATCTACGAGAAAAATAGAAACGGAGAAATCAGGTATAATAAGAAGGCGTAGAAAAAATCTGAAAATTCAAGAATAATCATTATATTTCGGGAATAAAGTTGTAATTGAGAAATGTAATAGTCATAATGTGATGAGGAAAAAGTCACAACATCATGAGAATAAAGTTGTTATGGTAGATTATCTGTACAATATCATGGAAACGTTAAAGAAATTAGGAGAACTGGTTCTTGCTGACATTCCACTCCTTCTGAATCCAGATCTTGAATCTAATAGTTTCTTGAGAAACTATGAAACTGCTTTGAATATCAGCCAGATGTAATCAACAAATACCTCACAGTCGACCACTCACATTTCCTCCACATAAGAGGCACTTACCTATAAGCCTGTGTGGCTGTTTCTTTTGAAAAAACAGTTTCATACCAATTTTTTTCAAACCTCTGATACTTCTGATAATGTGGTGCCGACGACCCAAAAGATATTTAAAGATAAAATATATCATAGAGTATTTTGACAGTTGTGAAACTTATTCTAAAACGTAACTGAATGCTCCACATCCCTCACTTTAACACAGGCGACAGGCTGAGCTTCTGAGCATATATTCCTCTTCTGAAATGACACGCAGCTTAAAATTTTTACTTTATCCGAGTACATTTCTTTTCCATCTAATTTGCCCCAATACACCGTTGTAGAATTTTGCATCCATGAAAAATCTGGTGGGAGTCATAGTGTCTGCCTCAGACTGTTAGTGTGGAGGTTTGCTAACAAACAATAAACCTCTCCACAAACAATGAGCCTCTCCACTTAAGTATATGTAATCAGAAGGTTCAAAGCAGGGGTATATGGGAAAAAACCTCCCGCAAAATAAATCCCCTAAAGTTTTAGTCTCGATAAATGTAATGTGCGCACAGTCGAATGCAGAATCCTCCCCCGAGTGACATTTAATTTGAGAAAATGCAAATAAAAATGGGAAAACTAAATCAACAATTGACACAGTGGCATTTTTTTCTGCTAAATAATATGGAATTAAATTGCAGCTGCTTCAGGCTTAGCCAAGTGATAAGGGCTACAGAGGTATTCATGCACAAACACACACATGCACACACGCACGCAATCAGAAAAAGAGAGCTACTGTATATACTGGCAGAACAAGTCCTCTCATCTCCCCAATGCTAAATAACACGGCAGCGGTAACCATAATAGATTCCGTGCGAGCATTGAGGAGAGACAGTGAAAAGCCTCACGGTGGGTGAGGAACAAGTTGTTAATTTTAGCGTCCGTCAAACATCAGTTTGCGTTTGCCACTCACGAGGAGGGAGGGGGGGGGGGTTGGTGTGAGGCAGGGTGAGAAATATTGTTTTGCTTTGGGGGATCTTTATGGATCTATATGAAGGAGTTCCACCATGGGTAGTAAACTGCAGCTTCTCATAATACAGACAAGAAATCAATCACGTTACATACAATAACAGCATGCTTTTAGAACGAGGGAGCAATTACATCACAGCCACCCTTGAGCCTTCTGTGAAATTACCCAGAATCCCTGCTACCTTTGTGCACAATGAACACAAGGTTGAGGAGTGTTTGATTCGCCTACCATGGTGTCCAGGTCCACTATTGCCTGCTTTAGCTGTTTCTGAGATATTCTGATCATGAGCACAGTGTCTGTGAGGGTCTGACACACAGCGCTGCTCCCTTCATCCTTCCCCGCTTCCTCTGTCATGCTGATGCTGCAGTTCAAAGTGGTTGTAATGCCATGCAGCTGGGCTAAGAGCGCGCCCGTAGAACCTTCCAGCGAGGAAAATTGCTTTATGAAGGCCTCTCGAGCTTCTGCAAGAACAAAGAGCACAAAGCAAATAAAACCATATTCAGACTGTGGCACATTATTTCACCAAGAATATTCTCCCTCCAACTCTTTGTAGCTGGTAAACTGGGTTTTAACACATCTCTCTGAGCTGATGTATGAAATCAGACTCTTGTCCCTACTATCTCTCTCATTGCAGACAGAAAAAAAATCAAAGCCATAATGAAATACTGTCCAGATGTTAATGATTTGTCACAGTCTCACTTTGTATTCTGAGCTGTTTCTAACTGGGTGCATTGTCAGTTTAGAGACAATAAGTACATGTGTGGATGCTTTTTGCTTTTCTCTGTCTCTGTATTCAAATAATTCCAGAAATGTCTGTGAGAACTGGTCATCTTCTCAGCTTCACATTTGGCATGTCTGTTAAAGGCCTATCAAAGTGCAGTGTTGAATTCGGTTTGGACACGAAATACATTACAAATATTGATATAAACAATAACTGCAGGTCACTTTTACAGTTTTTAGACCGAAAGCTGCAACCAACATCACCACAGGACAAGCAAACAGCTCATTCCATACAGGCAGGTTTAGAACACATGCACTCGTTTTATAGAATGAGAGATAAATGTGTGTGTATGTGTGTGAGGCTGTGGGTGTGTCCACACAGTGAACCTGTCGCTCCTGCATACTCATTAAAACATTAGTGGGCCAACCAGGGCCAAAAGAAGCACGACTGGTAACTGTGTGTGTGTGTGTGTGTGTGTGTGTGTGTGTGTTTAAGTATGCAGAGGGGTCTTCGCGAAAAAGGTTTCTGTGATTGCAACTATAATCATAATAAACCAGAGATTACAGATGTGCTGCCTGTCACATAAATAGGGATTAAGTTGGTCACATGGCGCCTTGTTCTATATTGTTATGATTTGTCTCCATTTGGCCTGTGCAGCTGAGACTGGAAGCCCCTTCCCCTCCAAAGATAATGACGATCTATCAGCATTGTGTTAAAGTAATTGGGAGAGGTTTGCATTGTTGCCTGCCTCCTGATTTAATTGCTTTGTTGTGGTGTATCTGTAACGGCGTCACACTGAGGAGACACAGACAGAGCAGCAGCCCATTTGCAGAACGCCGGGGGCGGTTTCATGTCATTTTTCTGAGCCATGCTTGCTGGTCTTGTATGTACTGATATGGCATGTTATCATCTCATAGCCAAAATGAGACACAATAGTTACAATGGCACATTAGAGAGAGAGAGAGGGCTTCATGTTTTACAATGCAACAGCGGCCAAGCATCTCTTCAGCTGTCATGACCATATAGGAAATATTAAAAGGAGTGACAGGCCGAGCGGAATTATCTTGGCTCGTGGCTGCCGTTACCTTGAAATGCCAGGAAATCCTCCAGAGCGTTGGGTAGAGTGTCCTCCCGCTGGTGATCAGGCTCATAAAGCCTGGCTAGGTGATACTTCAGCAGGTGGTGCTGCTTCCCAAATCTACCCCGGCAATCAAAGTGAGCCAGGAGCTTCTCCAAATCCTGCAGGCGAGTCTTCAGCTTTTCCGCCTGTAATAGCACCGAGATATATCACTGATGGTGTCAATGAGAATCCAAATTTTGTGAAACCAAAAGAAAAGATAAAAACAACAACCCCACACACAGGGCTGCTACAACACATACCACAAGAAAATATCTATCCATCCAGATCTGTATTTATTTATTCAGACACAGGGATTGAGATAGGACTCTGATTCTTGCTACACCGTAACATCAAAATGTAGTATTTCAACAAAAGCAATGAATAAATGAATATCAACAACGGGATAAGGATAGAATACGGTTTTCATACCTGCACCCACTCTCACTGTTCCCTGCATAGCATGCGGCCTGAGGAAGGCATTTCAGGAGATAACTAGATAAGACTTCTGTGAGAATGGAAGTGCAGGTCTCCAAATGGAACGGAGGGGCTGTGATTGGCACCAATTTCTTGACCCGGGCACTTAAATGGTCCAGAGCTATAAAAAGAGTCTGTGAATGTGGCTGTGAACATGAATCTTTCTTCATGTCCCACATTTCGCACACCCGAGGATGCTAAGCGATCTGAGCTTTAAGGTGTTAATGAGTCACATCTTTAATCCAGTTAATTTAACACCATGTACAACATATGGTTTATAACAAATCACATCCTTCCCTGCAGTGATTTATTTTTGCTTTTGAACAAATACGGGATCCGTTTCATTAATTTCTCTCCAGGTTCTTTTGAATATCTTTCTTGATCATCGATCTCAAATCTCTCATCATTTCCAACCTTGTTCTTTTTGTGCTTGTTAGTCTTTTTTTAATCCTCCTCCCTGTGCGTAAGCCAGAGGAAAATGTGAGCGGAAAAGATAGAGAGTGGGCAGCAAGGGAGAGCTGGGGGGAGACAGAGGACAGTGAGAGTAATTGCAGGTGTTCGGAGCAGACAAGGCTAGGGATGTTCACTGAATTGCTAACACTGTGGAAATCACAGCATGCATTCACACAGGTACAAGCTTGTCCAGAGAGAACACACGGCCACTTTACCTCAAACAAGAATATGTACAGAGGGAAGACAGGACATGCTGGTGGTATTTGAATGGCCTCATAGGGCAAATCCAGGGAAGCAGCACCTTAGCAAAGGGACGTGGGTTCCAGCAAACATAAAGGGACAGAAAGACGCTGCACAGGAGATCATTAGGGCAAATGTCTCTTTCACTGCACATCCACTGTTTACTTGCAATCTACAAATACAAAAGAGCCATATGGCTGCTGTGAGGGTCTACAAAGGCAGGATGTGCTGAGGGAACGAGCTGTTTCAAGAGCACATTGCACCTCATCATAGTGAGAACCAAGACACAGTCTACACTTGATACAGGTTTGCAAACCATTGATATGAAGATGTGCAACCATAAATGCAGCAAAAGCACATGAATCAACCTGGATAAACACGGGGAAAGATGAAGAAGATAAAGATTCAAAGCAGAGGCATTAGCCCATTTACTCGAGTATGGCTGCAATTTTAACACCGACACTTACTTGGAATGTATTATAGAAAATGACTCATATTTTCCCCACTTCATTTCAGAGGCTATAATGACACTTTGAGAATCAGAATCTGACAGCGGTGTTTTCATATGGCTTTGCATGTGAACATTCAACAAGTAAAAACACTAGTGCTGAAAATAATTGATTGATTTAATAATCAACAGGAAATTAATCAACATTTTTGCTAATTAAAAGTCAACTTTCAAGGAAATGTTTTTCTTTGACACATTAAATGTGAATGAAAAGGCATTTTTCAGTATTTTGGAATTCTGCAGACTGGAATAAAAATAAATATAATTAAAAATAAATACTAGTCAGTAGGTAGTCAGTGACCAACTCCTAAACTTGTGTCTTTAAGTGGCTACAGTCAACATTTTTATTTGATCAGTTTTGTGTTATATTAACAAGACCACTTACACTGTGAGGTAGCTCTACAGAGTGTTTCTTTTTCTTTCAATTCACTTGTGTAGTTTTCCTGCCTGCAACATAAAGGTTTTGTTTCACTCTGTGCTCTAATAGCTCTATTTCTGGCCAGTGAAAAAAACACCCAACACACAAAGCCTGTCCAACAGGAACCACCAGAGAAAGTGACATTTTGCAGCTCTACTTCTTCTTCTCTTTCACTTCTTTTTATGGAGGTTGGCAAATAACTTTTAGGTACATTACAGCTACCTTCTGAACTGGAGTGTGGAACATATGCATGATTCAATAGGACTTTATAACTTCAAATTCTTTTGTGGGGACCCCTTAACTGTCAGAGACCCCTTGGAACTCTCAAGGACCCTAAGGAGTTCCCGGACCCCACTTTGAGAACCCCTGGTTTAAAGACCTTCAGCAAAGCTAAGATGAGCATGCAAATAATTGGCTAAAAATCTAATTTGCTCTTGAAGGATTAAGTTGAGTAATAATTCAAATGAATTACTAATATGTAATAACTATGCAATGTGGATGGATGTAAGTTGTCCAACAATGTCCATATCTACTGGAGGGCAATATTTTCCTCACAAGTTTGCCATGCCATCTTAAAAGGTGATAATATGTTAAGGTTGCATTCACATCTTGTTTCTGTAGGCTTCAGATCACCATGTTTGGTATTTTAAAATAATCACAAGCAGCCATGAACTCACCTGTTTCTTGACGAGGCCATAGCAAACTGGGCATTCCTCACACTGGTGCGTGGCTCGGTTGTGGAAATAGTTCAACTCACATTTGTCACATTTGTAACCCACAAAGCCCTGGCGACAGTGGCAGGTGCCGTTTCTGTGACACTGCATGGATATGGAGCCCATAGGGTCACAGTTACAGGCTGGTGGAGGACATAGGACAGGAAGGAAGGATCAGGGACCACGTGGAGATGGGGGAGCAGAGATAAACATTTAAAGAGTTAAAACTGCCTCCATGTGTGATCTGTATTAAGAGGATTAGAAGATGGTACCAAGTGCAGTTGTGGTGCCTCAAGTTAAGTCCTGTACCTCTGCAACCTTGAGAAGAGAATCCAAAGAAGCCCACGCGGCACAGATCGCACAATCTCCCTTCCACTCCTGTGCGACACACACACTGCCCTGTGATTGGATGACACGCGATGGACGACGAGCCAATTGGATTACACTTGCACCTTAGGGAGTGGCAAGAAAATGATTTTTTTTTTAGTAGCCGATTTTGTTTTTGAGTTATATATTTTCACATAATGCACCATGAATGTTTTTACCTTTCACATCCTACACTGGGTTGGAGATGGAAGAAGCCAACTTCACAATAACTGCAATCCCGACCGGTCACGTGAGCGAGGCACGGGCAATCTCCTGTCTGAGGGTGGCATTCATTTACATGCCCTGAGGTTCCATCAGGGTTGCAGCTGCAGGCTAGAGAAAACAAATAAAGTGATTTCATAATTAAAACACATATTAAATTATTCATCTTAAATTTTGCCAATGGATCACCTTGTCACCCTGAGGATATTTATTGACTTGATACTGCTTGAGGCCAAATGGGAGGAAAAAGAGAGCCATTTGCCCACCCTGTTTTCAGCTTTTACCTTTCATGAGTCAAGACTGCAACATCTTTTGAATCTGAACTCCTCAATTAGTAAAGTTTATTTCATTGCACTGCACGCTACGTCCCTTTGAAAGCTAAAACCCGAGCCATGTTCTGGATATTCTTCAGACCACTACTTGACCTCACCTGTTCTAGTAAACAGAGCAATGTGAGCTCTAACAGGATTGTTTGGCTTGTTTATAATATATAATTGTTTTTTAAAGTTTTTTAATTTTCCTTCTCCAGCCACTTTTGATTACCACCAACACCCCTGACATCAATCAACTCAGCATTCACGCTGCATTTTCAACAGGAAATACATTTTTTTGTATAAAAATGTTTTTCACTCTCCCATTGTAAAATACAGAATCTACTGAAATTCAATTATTAAGTTAAACCAGTGGATGTCTCCTACTTCACTTAAAAGTCAATTATCAGTGTGGGCACAAGTTCAGACATCATACTAGTTCAAGTGTAATACTGAAACCAATTAGTTCCAAAAACTAGTTCCAAAACACTTGCTCAAACATCTTTAGCATGGATGAAAATTTTTCACTCTTCGGGTGATTCAGGCAACAGAAAAGCAAAATACATTTTTCAAGTGGAGGCAGACAAACAGTGTTTTACAGAAATAAAATCTTCTCCTCTCTACATTTATGTCAATAAACTAGATACATTATATTAAAGAAACTGACGACTGATTTTCCTCAGCTACCCACCCTTGCACTTCTGACCAGCTGCCTGGCTCAGCGCATCGCCGTAGAAACCCCGCTGGCAGCGTTGGCAGTGCTCGCCCTCTGTGTGTCCCAGGCATTTCAGACATCTCCCGGTGACACGGTCACATATTCCCACCGCGTTGAAGTCTGCGTTGCCGTTGCAGTCGCATCTCACACATGACCGAACTGCCCCAGATTGTCCCAGCGGATCGCCATAGTAACCGTCTTCGCACATCTGACAGCGCATTCCTACACAAGGGGAGAGGTGGAAGAGATGGGCAGGAATTAGATGGAGGTCAGTCTCATGTCACCACAAAGAGTCTGTGTTCCTGGATCTCAGGTGGCACCATGACACAACTGTGAATGAGCTGCCTTGAAGCAGCAGACTTGTCAGCATCAAGATCTCATGTGGAAATGCTCATATCAATTTGTTCTCGAAACCAAGCTCATTATTTACAATTGAGTTCGATTTTACACCATCGGCCGTCTCATCTCACCTGTCTGTCCGGGTGGACAGTTGGTACAGACCACCTGTCCCGTCTCCGCGATTTGTGCACAGCTGGTACGGTCCGGGCAAGGACAAGGCTGACAATCACCAGGCGTGCCAATCAAAGCGTTGCCATAGTAACCATCCAGGCAGCGTTCACAGGTCGTCCCGGCGGTGAAGTCTGAGCAGTCACACACACCTGAAACAGAGAGAGGAGTGTAACAGTGACCTGCTCCTACTATAAATAACACACACACACAGAAACACACACACACGCGCACACACACACACACACACACACACAGTACTTCATTGTCTCTCGGACACAAACACACTGCAGTGGGTGGCGTTTTCCTCGTCTCCAGCAGAGTGTGCTGTGTCTCCGACCAATAACTGCAGCTCCTCTACAACAAATCCTCCACTCCACAGCCCAACCCTGTATGAAACCATCCCCACAAACCCACCATGGAGAGCAGAAGACAACTAAATTCACCCTGGCTATAATTGCTTTGGGAAATATAAGAGCCAAATGCAGTCCGAAAGACCTTCAAGAAGTAAAGCAATTCCCCCACCAAGCAGGAGAGATTACCAATTCTATGATGTCCTAAAAAAGGAACTGTTGTTTCCAATGCCAAAGAAAAACAAGTCAGGGTTTTTTGAGCGACTTTAAAGTTCTTCTCTTGGCATTGATTAAACCCCTAAAAACTCTCTGTTCTGCAACATTACATATTTATGAGTTTTATTTATTAGCCCTGCCAATCTCCTCCCACCCCTCAACTGCTCGCCTGCAGCGCCGAGTCTGTTCATCACACACAAACCTCTGGCTGTTTTATGCTTTGATAGCTCCTGAACACTACAAACGGTAATGTAGGAGAAATTCAGACATACATGTACACCTGAAAACAGACTCCGGAGATGAAGATCGGTGAGGGGTCGCCTTCAAGTCAATGCATCAAAATGTATTATCTCTCTGCAATGTTAGAAAAGTATCTAACATGAGTCTCAGGCTTGATCACATTTTCAAACAGCTAAATAGAATGGCACTCAGAAGAGCACGTACCTCCAGCAGGGCCCAACAGTCCCTTAAAATTCAAACAAATTGCTAAAACTCATAAATATCACTACCCTTTTTTTCAACAAGATCCAAGCATGATTCACTGTGATATAAAACAAAAAATCAAATAATGCTCTGTTAAAGAAGACCCAGATCCATTCCGAACATTTTGTGGTGATTCGTCCTGTACTTGTTGCGTAATCCTGCTAACTAACAGACAGACAGACAAACAAACAAACCGACTGAGGTCAATCCTCTTGACAGAGTTAATATAGTTTTTCTAATGGGATATTAACCTTGGCCCAGATCGCCACCATTAGTTAAAGCTAAAAGGCTTCGCTTGCCACTAACCCTAGCTGATATCCCTTGCCTTGCCAAGGCAACACAAAAGAGCTATAAGATGTATGCTATGGTGAAATGATATTGAAAGACATGATTGGTTTCTAAACTATGAAACACTGGCTGTCTGAATCTGATTATCTGAGAGCGTCACTGGTGCGCTGCAGTTCCGAGGTGGAAATACTCTCCTAGCCGAAGGCCTTGGCACTGCTTATTACCGCTGTCAAGGATATTATGTTAATATGATTACTTAAAAACTACTRTTTTGTGAAGGGGTGGGTCAAGACCCAGGGGACCCATACGATTTTGGGGCATTTCTGGATCGGGGGGGCAGATTGAGGATTTCTTTTCACTTTCTTCAATATGCATGATTTTTTTWAAAACATTTTCATTGATTTCTGAATTAATCCACTAGTCTTGATGAAAAAAACATATATTTTACGGGGACTGATATTTATGAGTGGACGATTTGGTGCAGATCCAAATAAAAAAATCTGGATGTAGTGATTTTCATAAGGGGACTGTCGGCGGCGGTATGAGCTTAACTTAGATTCGTTCTAGTTTTGCTCATAATATGAGATAAAAAACACCATGTGGACAAGTTAACAAGGTTAAAAATGTGATTTTCATCTTTTAAGGATTTGTTCATGTCCTACATGTGTAATATAATGAGATGATTGTGAGTTTGATTTACTGTAATTTATGGGCTCTGTAGCTAGTACACTGTTTTCTTTAAGTACTGGTTGTAAAAGTGCAAACGGATGAAGGTGTAAGTCACACATACAGATGTATGCACGAATAAATTAACATAATAATAGTTAAAAAACAATCAATTAAGAGGGACCAGACATTTTATTAACAGACTTTCTGCAACTGGAGTACTTTTGAAACTTAAGGCTTATTCCCTTTCTTACAGTTTTTTTTAATATTTTTTAATGAGAATTAAAGAATGTCATTTGTCAGTTTGTAAAGTAGACTTATGCCCTGTTCGGATGAATGTGGATATTTTGCAAAACAAACTTTTTCCTCTCCTCCACATGCAAACAGCATTTTAACACTTTAACATTCCAGTTTATCCACGTGTGCATTTAAAAGTGTTTGGGAAACAATGACGTCACAGCTTACATCACGTGTATCTACCGTTGCTTTGTGTAATTAGCATGCACCGGAAACAACAACAAGTCTAAAAAWRTCTCAGTGTCTGTGTGCTCTGTCAACACCGAAAACAAAGCATGACAATGTTGAGCTTATGTGCTGAGAAGACGCAACAATATTTTCAGTTTATCATGAATCGTAGACTTTTGCATATCACACATCCTTCTTCATTGATAAATTTTTAATGTTCTGATGAAAAGTTAGATTTAAAGGTACAGTGTGTAGAATTTTGTGATATCTAGTGTTGAAATTGCATGTTGCAGCTGAACACCCCTCACCTCAGCCTCTCCTTCCAAACATGAAAAAGAACCTGTGGTAGACTTTAATTGTCATAAAAACTCAAAAAGTGTTTAGTTTGTCCAGTCTGGACTAATGTTAAAAACATGGCGGGCTCCGTAGAGAGGACCCCCTCAATGTAAATATAAAGTATTTGAATATGAAGGGCCTTTTCTGGGGTAAAGAAAACTACAATTCATACAATTTAGAAGAAATAAACTAGTGAAAACACCATGAGAATTATTCTACATTAAATTTCTGCCAATATATCTTTTCACCTAAATCTTACACACTGGACCTTTAAACGCCAACTGACCGTTATTGCCACAAGACTCTTGTGACGTGTGTCTCTGTAGCTGGGCAACATCCAGCTGCTCTGATATCTGCAACAAATGCAGTGGTCACCATCTGTAAAGGAAATCGCCACCTCATTTAATTTTGCACACAGGTGTATGTTGAGTGCAAATCTCAGGTGTTTGCACGTGTTGAGATCTATGTGTGATGAGCAAGGAGATGTGTGACGCTGCAATTTCAAGTGACAAAGAATTTATTGAAGTCTCTCAGAATGAGTCATGGGTTTGGTGGTAGGAATTACTCTGCTCTTTCTTTGCTCCATCTCCTTTAACTCCTCCTCAGAGATTTCAAAACTGACATTAATCTTTGGTCACTCCTTGCAGAGCTTGAAGACTCCACAAATAAAACAGGCTCCTTTTCATCCAGCTTCTCCTGGATC